GTTTACTTATAAACCAGTTTGACACCCGACACTGATAAGAAGACTGTGTAGAGTAGAGAGGTTAACATCTTTATCAAAAAATTAAAAACCTAAAACAAAACGAGTGTATTTAATTTCTAAAAATTGTGCTTTAGAGAGATCAAGTACTGTTAGGATTTTATTTGTTGTCTTCATGAATCACCATACCTTAAAACAACTTAGAAATAAAATTTCAATCAATAACTTATGCCATATAATAATAAAAAATCAAATGTGTCAAAAACATTTCTGACTTCATATTTTTTTAAAACTTGTTTTCTAGTACGAACTTTGAAAACTGAGAGTGGGAAATAGAATAGTCCTCGCATTGTATGCCTCTATTTTTTTCCAAAGTAAATTGTGCGAGTCCATCCTCAACCTTTTTAAGTTTTGTTACTTTATTTTCAATCTGTATAGAGTACATAAACGTAAATTAATATACAAAGATTTTTGCTAGAAATGTCAATATTAAAGCATTATGCAACAATTACATTATTAAACGAAGTGGATGCGCATACTAAATTTAACGTGTGCAGTGTCCGATGTTCTTTTTTTTAACTTGAAATAATAAATGATTAAAGCGTAACTTCTTTTTAAAAAAAAAATTAAACGCCTTTAAAAGGGCGCTTTTCTGGCCTCAAACAGCGACCTGCCCTTGTATACAATTTACAATAATCTCAGAAATCAGGGGCGGGTTCAATTTTTTTCTCTAGAGGAGGATACAACGTGTCAGTCTCGGAAATTTTTGACAAGCATAAAAGAAGAAAAAGAAGCAACCTGCTCAAAGCTGAAAAACATATTTTATGCATATGTGTGGAGGGGAAAGGGGGGGGGGGCTTTCTTAAGTCATTTTTTTAAATACATGACTCTCTCCCCCTTACCTCTTAAGCGGGCTCTGTATTTCTAGGGGTGGTTTGGTTTTGTTATTTTTACAAAGAAATTTAATAACTGCATGCAATGGAAAATTTCAAAAGGAGGGGACATCCCCCACCCTCGCTCCAACATACGTTTTTAGTATTTTACATCCCAAGTTACCTGCAATCCGTAAGCTTCGTATCCGATTTCATGCTACTATTGTTATAAGATTAAACAAAAACTGCATTTTTAATGGATGGTCAAGTGTAGATCAACAAGAAATCATGTAGATCGCCCTCCATTAGTACAATAAAGTAAAAAAAAAAACTTTTGTGGATTTATTATCAACAATATTCGAACGAAGCCAATCATCTCTTAATTTATTTTTCAACCGCTTACACCACTTGCGATCTTTTAATAGGAGAGAAGAAATAACATTAATTTTTTTGGACCCGGTTCTTAATTGGTGCGGTTCAACCTATTCCGAGAGACCGAATATTGGGCGTTATCAATATTTCAAATAAATGTAAAGATTTCTACGACAGAGAGTTATATTATAATTTAAATCAAATATTTTAACACACACACACACAAACTAAAACAAAAGTCGACATATTTTCGTACTTTGTATCTAAAAAAACAAGCATTCTGAGAGTATTGCATTAGCAACACTAGTCCCCTACCGGCAAGTGTAATCTGGTTCCCGTTAAGAATTGAAAATGCCATAATTCCGTCAAAAATCAATGAAGCGGGACGAAATGCAAACTTGATCTATAGATAACTAATCAAGGTAAAGTCACATATCAAAGATCAGCTCAATATCTAAAAGTGTTTAGAAGAAAATTGCGGAAAACCCCTAAAAATTGAAAAGGCCGCAATTCCGTCAAAAGTCAATGAAGCGGAAAGAAATGCAAACTTGATCTGTAACTCATCAAGATACACTCACATACCAAAATCTGCAAGCATTTAGGAAAAAAGTGCGGAAAACCAAGTGGGACAGACAGACAGAGGGACAGCTAGACAAACGGACGGACAGCTGGACAGACAGACGGACGGACAGACTCAGAGGAAACCTATAGTCCCCTCCGGTTTCACCGGTAGGGGACTAATAAAAATAATTATGTATGGAAACACACTTAATTATAAAAAAGATTGTAAGCTTGGTTATAAAAAAACCTAGGTACGCTTCGACAAGTGTTAACTGTATAATGTTTTATTAACTGGGTTTATATTCTCTCTCTCTCTTTCTCTGAAATTGTCGTTGTTTATTCGTTTTCATAAGTACACGTACACACATGTACATGTACATATTCCATTCATGTTTTCTCAACATTTAATTTGCATTTCCGGATATATTTGAAAAGCACTCAAAGAGAATGGTAATCTAAGAATTTCACTTGCGATTAAAAAATTAAAAATCTTAAACACTTTTTTGTACTTTGAACAAAATATCATATTGAAAATCATGTCGACTGTATCATGATCAGTATGGTGTAGTGGAGGCAGAATTATAGAAAACTGGATTGAAAAGGATAGAAGTTGGAAAGAATTCGTTCAACGAAATGCAAAAACAGTAATAACAATGAAATAAAATACAACACTGAACTTAAACGTGCGATACGAATGTATGTGGAACTCACATGTGTTTGTGAGGAGAAGGGCGATTTTTAAAAACGCGTATTTCGTTGCAGGTATGTACTAACGGGGGAGGGGGGGGGAGAGGTTGGATCGAGGTACAATTTTTTTTTTTTTATTTAATAATTTTTAAGTAATAGTCATTTGCTATGTATTAAATTTATATTTATTGTTTTTTTAATTCAAAGACGCTCCCCTTTTTTGTGCTGAGGCCAAAAACAAGTGAGAATGATCAGAATAATCACCTTAAAATGAAAGACGTTTGTAGTATTTTTTCAGTTTGTTTTTTATTGGTTTTGTTTCTTGTTTTTCATTTACTCCCCCCCCCCTTTTCCGTTTTCACCAGAGTGCGCTTAACAAAAGTTTCTACCAAAGATTTAATTAGATTTTCAAATAATTGAATTGTTTTGTTTTTGTTTTTTAATTTTCATAGTCCCAAAAATAGCAATACCTGATGCATGATTAGCATTAATTCAAAAGAAAAAAATCAGCAAAATATATAACCACACTTTGTATTTTGTACACGTGGTAACTTGATCTGTAAGTTATCATCAAAGGGAGGTGCAATTCTAAATAATCTGTACTTCCGGTCAAATTGATAGGGATATATTTAGGATATCCTACACAAAGAAAAAAAAAGATCATTTGCCTAATAACAAAATAAATAAAATAAAAAGAATAAACAAAACAAACAAACAAATAAACAAACAAAAACCAAAACATTTTGTCATAAGAACAATTTCATTCATTGGCCGTACATGTATTTCCTCGTTAGAGATTTCAGTAAAATTACGTTGTTATTTTTCATTAAAATTCTGGAAGAAAAATGATCATATCAGGCATATCGTCAAGCATGGATATCAAAATCATCTGATTACCCCTTTTACTGCAATACATTGTATTCATGCGTCTTGGAGACAGAGCTAAAAAAAATCTATGAAATATTAAAAGTTATATATAATATAAAGTTAATACGGAACAAAAAAAAAAAAACACGCAGAAAAAATAGATTGAACATACAACGTAATCGAAAACAGGAAACGAGACAATACAGGGAACAATATTTAATTTGTTCTTTATAAAATATTACATGTGCAATTTCTACATATGTAACAAAATTAAATAAATAAACTTGACAATATTACATCATTTATGTCCTATTATACCCTATTAGATTTTTTTTTACTAGGGGAAAAATCCTCTTATCACAAAATCCTATTTCATGAAGAGAGAGAGAGAGAGAGGTGGGAGTCACTTTTATTGTATATCTTACACTCCCGTATGTGGTCTGTGCTTCTTGAAGGGTCCGACGCCATTTATTTATATAAATTAAGTAAGTAAAGGGGGGTCCGAACCGCCCCTCCTTGCCTAGTCGTATTTGTGGAATATTCTACGGGCTCCTGCCGCCGAAATATGGTTAAAATATTACCGACTCGGCGTTAAACAATAAACAATTAATCAATCTTGACAACCTAACGGCCTGAATTACTGGTAAACGATAAACCCGGAACCTTTCTCAAGGTTTGGGTTACACGTACTCGTTATTATGACGTCATTTACGTAAAATGACGTTGATTCTAACCGTTTGCTGCAAAATAGACGAGTGTATCTCATAAATTGAATTTAAAATAGTATGAAAAAAAAAATACATTTGAAATGAAATAGTGTACAATATACATCTCATTGAGCATATTCAATAGTAACAATTATGAATAACAATCATTTATCTGAAAAATTTCAAGGCGTCATCAGTGGTATGAATTTTACTTCGTTTATCCATATATTTGCCTGAAATTTTCATGATATTCTACAAATAAGTCATGAAAAACTTTAATGTTATGCAATAAAAAGGTGCAAACGTTTAACAATTATTTACGTTGAAAAAAAGTAAAAGAAATACATGGTCACAATTCAGTTCAATAAAATCGGCCCAAAATCGGCCCCGTGGCACTCTACGCAACTGTGTAATCGGCCCAAAATCGGCCCTGTGGCACAGAAGTGGTTAAATATGCAATGATGTTGTCCTTTGGCATACATGTACAAACATGTAACATAATATAAGCACGTCATGAATTTAGATGCAGTCACACTTGCAGTGTATTTGTGAAGTCAAAACTGCACAGTGTACAATGTATGTGCACTGTAAATACAAGAGTATAAGACCCTATAAATTTTAATTTATACCTCTGGCAATCAAAAATATGTGAATTTTAAGATTTCAGTTTTTACCAGTGCTTCATATTTTAAATTCATCATAGAACTTTTACTATCTGTATCACTAGGCTGTAAATTTGTAGAATTTCTACATTAATGAAGATAAAATGTTTGAATTTTCATTTGTCTGACTACATGTACATTAAGTAAGTCATATATCATAATGTATATACATGTATTTATGTACTGTTTATATGTATAATTTTTTTTGTCATTGTAGCTATCACAGAACTGGTTAAAACTGGCATTTACATCAGCTAGAACTATCAAAATAGGTGCATCAATTTCTCCACTGGGTATGATCACACTAAAGCATTTCACATTAATTTTATAGTATGCCAATGTTAAATATTTTTTTTAATGTTGTATAGGTTAAAGAATTAAATGTTATCTCTAGTATATTGATTTTTTTTTTTACTTAAATTAAGTTTAGCTACCAATTCTAGTTTTGCAAATGTCATAGGTTTCAATTTCCCAGAAAAGTTTTGTATCAAAAGTTTGTTTCCATTTATTTTATGAATTTCAGAAAATATAGTATAGCATGGTTTGTTTTGTACAATGCAATGTCATTTCATTCTACAATAGTAATCATTATGTTTTTCACTCATTACATATATATTGTATTGTAGCTACTCCCAAACAATTTGAACAATTCATTCAGGCAGCAAGTGTTTCCACCAATAAAATAAAAAGGTATGCTCCATATAAGCTCTAAACCATACATATTTCTAGCAAGATTATTGAAATGTTTTGATAAGAAAAACAGTAGAGTCATGTATATGCTCTCCATGTTACTCAATGCATTGTTCTGAGTATCACTTTTTTAAAACACCAATGAACCTTCCATAATGGTATTTCATTTTGTTTTCAGAATTGATTTCATCCAGAAGAACTGTTTTTGAACTGTGGACTGTTTGAAATATTTTGCACCTGCTCAGAAATCCCTTCACAACTTGTCTTAGAATTTGAAAGGCTGTTTTTAATTAAATAAATTTTCTAGATAACTAATACTTTGATTTTTTAACAGTACAATGGTGTGAAAGTTTGAAGGCTGTTAAGATTTGAGTATCTTAAGTTTACTTGCATGTATTCTGACAGGCGCGTAGCTGCTTATACGCAAATACGCAGGTGCGTACACATCGTTTACAAATTAAAAAAAATGGGGGGGGGGGGGGAGGGAGAGATTTGTGAGAAGAGAAAAAATATCAATACCATCCAGCAAATATTTGTGTTTCAAATTATTTTATCTCATACTGTTTCGATTCAAATTCAAATTCTATATTACCATGTCTTTTTAAAAAAAAATTGTAATATTTTATTAAATCATTGCCAAAACCAAATAAAACATTCATTAATTTGTAATTCTTCTACAACACATTGATAATTTATTTTAAGATCTTTGAGAAAATATCAACCGTTGAATGCTGTGATCCACTAGAATATGATTTGAAATATTATTTTTGTTAAAAATTGAAATTATTAACTTTATTATATGATTGAATAATTTCCCTCTTTCTGATTGGCTGAGATCCAACAATGTTAGAAAAATACGTTATATTAACCTACACGTGACCTTCCAGGTCAATACAAGGAATTATTGCAGGTCAATATAATGAATTATTCCTATTCCATTTTTTCATGTTACAATGTGTTCTTGTTGAAATTTCTCGTTAAAACTTTCAATTTAAGCAAAAAAAAAAAAACAAACAAAAACAGTCATGTAGGAGTTTGCTATCATTTAATCATATAATAAAACAGTTATTGCTGTTTTTTGAGGTCAATACGATGATTTAGACACCTTCGAAGTACAATATTCACCTCGCCCTTCGGGCTCGGTGAATATTGTACTCCTCAGGTGTCTAAATCATCGTATTGACCTCAAAAACCAGCAATAATTGTATAATATTTGTTGCCGAAAGATGATACCAATATATCTTTTTAAAAAAATATTCAGCCTCTACATGTACAATAAATTTGCACGGAAGTAATTAACTTTGTGTTAAAAACAATATTACTATGTCTTGTATTTTCTAAAGAAACTCGAAATGGCATGATTTTGAATGAAATATTTGGTAAAAATCATGAGCTTCCAGGGACTTCGCCCCTGGGCCCTCATCTGGACCCACTGGGGGTCTCAAAGCGGACCCAAGTCGTTCTCTGCGTACATTTCACTTCCATTCTGGTATGCGCCTGTCTGTGTTTTGGGGTACAACAAGATCTAAATTTCAGCATGTATATTGTGTTCACCTGTTATTTAACAGAGTATCTGTTTCTTGATTACAAAGTTTTTACTATGATTATCTTGTTTGCGCATTGATTGATAATTACTCAAAAACATGAGACTAAAGCCCCCCCCCTTCCCCCTCTACGCCGATGTGATTTGTGCTACAATACCCAAATAAGTAAAACCTGAGGAAAACACTGTTTAATAATTTATTTTTAACATGCCAGTAAGTATATGGTATTAAAGGAGCCAAAGGCAAACTGGTGATGGGGGGTTGAGGTTGGGGGGTTGGGGGGGTTAGATCTGTAGAAAGGAAAACAGGTTATTAAATACAGGAGTAAGCACCCCAATCCCTTCCTTCTGTTCTTAAAACTTTTAACGTAGTCTAGAATCTATAAACAGTTGAAGGTTTGATAACTAAAATAATCACATAAAAAAAAAAAATTAAAAAAAGTAGTAAGTTCTGTTGGAGATATTTTTTCTGTGTGTCTACTGAGGAAGAATAAATGTTTTATCATTGATAGGGGCTGTCTATTTTTTTTTTTTTTTTTTTGTTATTACAAATGACTGAATCTTTCAATATTTTTAACCATGGGCATTTTCCAATTCATTTACATGATGGATGTTGCGGCAAATTTTAGGCGAACGGAGGAAATGCGGTAGGTGTCAAATACGTCTTGTGTAGCGTATAAAAGAACGAAGATATACAAAAACAAAGTAAACTCAAAGATTTTTTTATGCATACCGTATTGATTTAGTGAAATAAAGCCCAGCGCAGTCCGTAGATATTATTTGTTTAAAATTTGCGAGGTACACACACTCTACTTAGTATCACAGAGTTATCTCCCATGCTGGGTCAATGATGCGTTTGAAAACTATATTTAGAATGAATGTGTTAAGATTTCAATTTTTAATCAAAAAGTGCAAGGGCAAGGCGACAACCCAAGAGGTAGGTTTTTATTTTAAATTCTTTATTTTACTGTATAGTTTTTAAAAAGTGATGCTCATTTCTTTGTAATTCATTAGGTAATTTAAAATTTCCGATTAAATGATGAAAAATAGCCTATTTTTGAATACTGGTGTCTATTTTCAATGAATAACTTAAATATCTCAGAAATCTGACTGAATGAGCATCAGTTTTTCGATAGGCTAGATACCACGGGACACAATGAAACCTTGTGCAGTTCAAATATTGTTTGCCTTGCCCTTGCACTTTTTGGTTAAATTTGACATTTCATATTTTGACCTAAAATCGGAGCTCACGTGACTTTAGAGGGTCACATGATGACAAAAAATACCGATGTGAAAAGCGATGGACAAACTCTTCATAAAGCCATTAAGATATTCCAGATAGAGTTTATTGCTAAAAAATAAGACGGTTGAACCTTAAGTGTCTCGTTTTTGGTGCCTTTTTATAGAAAATGTTGCCTTAACTGCACTGCGTAATTTTTACACCATTTAGTTCATTTCAATAAATCAATACGGAGTTATTTATATGAATAAGTGTTTATACTTATTTGTAGATTAAAATCACAGTGGTCATTTAAATTCTTATTTTCATCTGTTTATATCTTTTGTGGTGTCAGGACCAACTTGGATTTCAATGAAAATTGAGATTAGTTTGTCCTTATTGATTGAGATTTTGATCTAATTCTTCATATTGACAAAAATATTATGACATGACCAAGACAGCACTGAATGTAAGTTTACTTTTACTGATTTCATTATATCATTATTAAATGCTAAATCTCCAAATTTTTAATATTCCAATATAAAATATGAATGTCCAGTCCGTGTAGTTATTTATGACTATAAAAAATTCTAAGTAATGATTTCATATATCAGTATACTTTTACGAGAATGAGTGTAAAGGATAAAACAAAGAGGAGTAACTCTTAACAGAAAACGTGCTATGTTGCAAGAACTGTATGCAATGTTGTTATTTATATTTCAGAGCTGTGATAATATTGATATTCATACAGCGATGCGATTGAGACTATAAGGAATATTTATATCCACAACGATAGTATGGTGTTTGACTTTATTGCGTGGACCCTGAGGTACACGCAGAAAATATATAAGTGGGGTTAAACCTGATGCCATGGGTTTACGTCAGGCTACGCATGCGCCAGAATGCTAGAGAGTTCGCCTCTAAGACATCTTGCTCTTAGAACAATTCGCCCTCTTCGAATTAGAATATGCCAATCATTGGGAAACCTCGCTCTAAAATCTGCACATCGTATTTACATGTATGTATTCTTTGGCGGTACCAAGATCTGAATTTCTCTTTAATACATATATCCTTATATACAAACTAAATTCTATGGTACAAGCATTTTAAATAAGTAGGAAGAACTTATAGAGATACATTGTAGCTTAACAGTTTGAACATGTTGAATTAAAACCATTAGGTTTTAAAAGATAGTCTTTGCCATTTTTACCGGCATTAGTTTTGTGCATCAAGGTTTGCAAAATAATCTGATAGGCAGCAATCCAAATATAGCTAGATAAATGCCTGTAGCAATGTTTTCCATGTTAGGGAGAGGAAGAAAAAAATGCGTACTACAGATCTGTGCTACACGTGTACCATCTATCTTTCCAATGATTGGATACTTCCGTAGAAATCTAGTACAGATGTCAAGTCCCAGCCGTTATACATTACATGTATCGAAATAACCTGATTTTTTTTAAATGAGAAAACTATAGGTCAATCGGGAATAAAATTTAACAACTTTGCTATGAACGTACAATTACTCAAAGTAGGCAGATCATTGTAGAAAATGTTACCGAAAGGTAAACCTGTGTCACCCTTCAGAGTAACCAATGAACTCGTCCATGGATGCATTGACGGTCGTTGTAACAAGAATAGATATGGGTTACCCCATATCCAAGATATTCGTCTTTTTAAAAAAAAAAACTGCACGTTATGAAACTGGTGTATAGTTCCTCATGTCTGTAGCAAATACCGTCACCAGTCTAAGCGTCACTAGCAAACAGTGCACACACCTGTGCTTGCAAGACCAAATAGCCTAGGTCTACACACGTGCGATGAGATTGTCAATCGCATCTTCTCAGACCTTCTGGCGAACAATCTGTGATTGTCAGTAACATGCATTTTTATAAATTCACAAATACCATTCCCGAGTACAATGACAATCAGGTGCAGACTTTTACTGTACAAAAAAGCCGAGTCTGCATTCGTTGAATTTGAAGGTAGGCCTAACGACAATTTCAATGAAAACGATAAATTTTATGGCGCATCTAAAGCAATCGTATTCCGTATCATAAAAAGACTATACATATTTTTATAACGGCATTTTTTTGTAATGAACAATCATTACTGTATGCGTAATTTTTTGATTTGAATGGAATATTTAGATTAACAGGTCATTTTTAGCGGTCATTATTTATAATGACCGGGTCATTATACCCAACGTGCAATGATTCCTAGGCCATTATTGCTATAAACGGTACTTTTTGGAGACATTATTGAGTTTAAAGGCCTTCTACCAAGCCAATCAAATTTGAGTATTCTTAATAGAGGTATAATTAATTGAAGGTTATAACCAGATATCACTTGTACTGTATACATTTTGACATTATAAAACGGAAGAAAAAAGGACGGAATACTTTTAGATCATTTTTGTTTAGAAATTTATCTTTTTTTCATTGTCATTGTACTATTAATATATATAATATCAATGTATATATAGATCTATGCTATC